GGGGTGATATTTGAAATAGCTTGAACTTTTGTACTTAGTATTTATGTATACAAATGACAATTTTCTTTTTATTTATTTATTTATTTGTTTATTTTATTTATTTTTTTATTTTTTATGTCTGAGAAAACTTGGGAACCACAAATGTCAATTTTCAAAGCCTTTCATAGTTTGACTCTATCATTGTCAACCTTATTCACAGTCGTGGCTCACCTTAGAATCTCGCAAAATTTGTTTCAATTCTTACTATTCACTGTAACACCTTAGGCATTATAGTCAAAATGGTGTTAGCAGTAGTTACCTTTTCGGATTATGAGGATTAAATAAAATAATGAAGTTAAAGTGCTTTGTTCAGGGCCTGGCACATAGTAAACACTCAAGACACATTAGCTGCTCTTGTGTTATTGTTGTGGCTGCCTTACTCCTTGGCTTGAATGAAGTTATTCATGCCTTTGTTCACACTATTTTCAGGCCCTGGAACACCTTATGCTTTCCTCCTCCCACTTCTCGTGCTGACTTCTCTCTTGGAATTAGGGCTTCTAAGAAACTTTTCCAAGCATGTAGTCCTTTACCATCCACCCCTGCCTTACGTAGGCATTCCCTCATTGGTGCTTTTTGTGCATATCTCTACTTGGATTATTGCATTTCATTACACTTTGGACTTTGAGTTCCTTTTCAGTGGTAGGGACTAGTTCTCAGTCTATTTATATCCTGGTGTAACTGTCCTGCCCTGCAGCTAACAGGTTTTTTTCTGTTGGTAAATATAAATGCTGTCATCTAGGTTATCTCGTTTAATCCCCTCAGCCACCCTGTGAAAAGGAGGTGTTACTATCTTCAGTTTCCAGTTGAGGAATCAGGCTACTTAGTGTGTAAATGCTGTAAATCTAGAAGTCCTCACATTTAATCATTATTATTGTATAGATAGCCTCTTATACCTGATATTTGTCTTTATAATATCAGTAGAATAACATTCAAGTTTGGAATGTGAAGACATCCTAAGGAATTGGGCTTCTGCTGATTCAGAATCGTTGTAGTTTCATCTGTGTAGAGATTGCTTTCTTTTTACTATAAAAATTGCTTATTTAATATTGCTTAGCAAAACAATTGGGTATATAAATGCATTTAAGATAGTGAAGAGCATTTGCTCAATAAATACGTAGAGTTGTTTATACTTAAAAGAATTAACATTGTATTTTTTTCAAAATTCCGATTTTCACTGATTTCAATTAGCCTTTATTAAATTTTATTTATTTAATAATATCCTTGAGATAATTATGTATTTGTATATGAATGATAGGCCTTTCTTGGTCCTTATACGATTGTCATTTTAGGATCATTTAGATGACCTAATGACTTGTTACAGCCTTTGTGTTCAGTGAAAAACATTGCTTCTGATAGTTGGGGTAGGGAAACATTATTAAACTACAAAATTACTGCATTTTATTAACTTTATAACATTTTAAAGTCACATTAGCAGTGTATATGTTGATTCTAGTTCTTTTGGAAGATGTAATTGTGGTTTGAGTTATATCGTAAATTTCAAAGAATGCAAGACAGTTTCTTATTTTTAAAGAACAAGGAATAGAATTGAAAATGAGAAGTATTTATTGTCTTACATAATCTTCAGATTTAATTTATGGATTTACTTTGCTTTATTGTTTTTGTTTTTAAGGTTTGCTTATTTTAAAAAATATTTAAGCATTCTCATTACAGAGCATAGTAATGAAAGATTTCATCAAGAATTTCACCTCTGTAACAGTAATATTTATATTTGATTTTAGGGAAGCTATGCGAAATTATTTAAAAGAGCGAGGGGATCAAACAGTACTTATTCTTCATGCAAAAGTTGCACAGAAGTCATATGGAAATGAAAAAAGGTAAGATTATTGTTTTTCTGGTGGATAGTTAATTGTAGTTACCACATGAATTTGCCACTTATGTATCAATATCCATGTCAGAGGTCGGCTTCTGTTACTGGGTTTCTTTGCTAGTACAAAATAAAAAATGGGGGATTTGTCTCTGGAAGGAGAGAAACTGAATTGTGGTATACTTAAGACAGAAGGAGAATTTAATAAAGGTCATCTGGTTAAATCCCTGATCTTACAAAATGAAATAATTCACATTTTGGGGGGGGGCGGCTATATAATATTCCCCAACTACTTGTGTGATACGCTTATTCACAAAGAAGCTTTTCTTTTGGTGGGAAATGTAGTTGTTTAAACAAATGTCACCCCAAAAGTATCATTTTGAAAAGGAACAGGCTAAACATGCTCTTGATCCTAAAACTCTCTTGAGCTTAAGTGAATTGAGCTATGGAGTGATTATAAAGAAAACTCCTGGCCCTCTCTCTTGATCCTATACCGTCTGGGTTGCTGTTAAGAAGAAACAGCAAAACTGGGTTCATATTCTCATATTGCCTGATGTGGACTCAACAGAAATTAATTACCTATAAAGTAGATTAACCAAAATTAAATTACAAGGTGATTTTTTAAAAATTATTTCTCACAGTATTCTATAAATTTCAGCTTTCTTGTGTGTGTAATTGGGGACTTTCACACCAAGTTGTTTCTTCACTTGGTACCTGTAATTTTCTTGCGAATAGTTTCTTGAGTCTTTCTTTTAAACAGCATTTTTGGTTAAGCATTTTATGGAAAAAGCCTGCTTACGGAGAAGGATCAAAGGTTTTTTTTTTAATTGGCTATAAAGATATCCAACTGAAGAGAAAAGGAATGAAAACTAAGGTTTGGGGTTGAGGATACCTCAGCTTATGCTTAAGAGAAGGAAATGTAATATGTATGTAGTTAAATTAACTTATATCCTAAAAGAGACTTAGAAAGTTCCTTGAAGCTGACTAGATCTGAGCTGAGAAGAAGATAAAGCTTTTTTTTTTTTTGAGATGAGGTCTCACTGTTGCTCCGGCTGGGGTGCAGTGGTATGATTTCTGCTTACTGGGCTCAGGTGATTCTCCCACTTCAGCCACCTGAGTAGCTGGGACTATAGGCACTCACCACCATGCCCAGCTAATTTTTGTATTTTTTATAGTGGGGTTTCACTATGCTGCCCAGGCTGATCTCAAACTCCTGGGCTCAAGTAATCCGCCTGCCTGCCTCTGCCTCCCAAAGGATTACAGGCATGAGCCACTGTGTTTGGTCAAGAAGGTAAAGCTATTTAATTGGTAGTTTTATCCTCAAAGATGAATAAGCAAAAACAATATTTATTATTCATACTGCCAGGTGTTGTTATTTAGGCTTACTAAATTTCTGATTATTTCATCTTACTTTACTAATAAAACTTAAACACTGATTTAGGGTTAAATATGGGAAGAAGTTGGTATCTGTAGTTTGGGACATTGCATACCAAATCAAATTAGTGGTCCTTCCCCACCCCCATGAAATTTATACTAGAAATTCAATATTTTTTTCCATTAATGAAATTTTGTGTTTATAGCAAGTTTTCTGCTTTTTAAGCAAAACAGAAAAAGTCAACACCCATCATTATGGAAGAAGAATCTAAAAGGCCAGCTGTGCACCTCATAGTGAATCTTAGGTAGAAACAGTTTCATGTCGGCTCCAATCATGAGCCAGCCATTCTTCTGAAAGTGCTTTATAAATATTTTAAAGTTATAATCCTCAGAGAAATTTTGTAAAGTTGTCATGTTATGAACCAAATTCTGTGGGCGAAGAATCTAAAGGTCAGAGACTTTAAATGTGTCCAGGTTGACATTAGTTAGGAATCTGTGGAGCTAGGGTTAGAACTCCTGAGGGCTTGATTTCAAATATTTACCCTTTTTGCTACCCTAATTGCCACAGCGTTCTATTTGCGTTTGAGTGTTGGTTATCTAGAGCAGGGCTTGATGAGGAAAAGATCCTTTAACAACATAAACTTTGTAAACTTAACTTTGCCTAGGACTATCCCTTTTACCATTACCTAGCTGAGACTGGGCTAGCTCTAACTGAATTATGAATAGATGTATGTTTATCATATAGCTTCAAACTTGGGCAAGCTGCTTTTCTTTCTCTGGATTTTTGAAGATGTATTTTAGTACAATTGAATTCACTTATTCTTTATTTACGATTGGCTATTGTGTGCCAGGTTTTATACAAAAGGACCTTTACCAGGAGTTTTAAAAGTCACTGTGTCATTTAATAACTGAGGCCCAGTAGAGGTAACAAAAGGGGAAGAGTTATTTAGAAAATTGTGTTAGTTTAGATAAGGTTTCTGTTCATAAATACAGCCGGCCATGGTTACCCAAGCTTGTAATCCCAGCACTTTGGGAGGCCAAGGCGGGTGGATCACTTGAGGTCAGGAGTTCGAGACCAGCCTGGCCAACATGGTGAAACCCCCCATCTCTACTAAAAATTCAAAACAGCTGGGTGTGGTGGCAGGTGCCTGTAATTCCAGCTACTCAGGACGCTGAGGCAGGAGAATTGCTTGAACCCGAGAAGCAGAGGTTGCAGTGAGCGGATATCACACCACTGTACTCCAACCTGAGCAACAGCAAGACTCCACCTCAAAAAAAAAAAAGATGCGTATGGAGCTGGTATTGGTTTTTATAAAGTTAAAATGGGAAAATTTAGTCTTATCTTTTATTGTAGTAGCTTTAATTTTTTAATTTTTTTTTTGAGACTGAGTCTTGCCTGCGATCTCAGCTCATTGCAACCTCCGCCTTCCAAGTTCAAATGATTTTCCTGCCTCAGCCTCTTGAGTAGCTGGGATTACAGGTGCCTACCACACTTAGCTAATTTTTGTATTTTTAGTAGAGATGGGCTTTCACCATGTTGGCCAGGCTGGTCTTGAACTCCTGACCTTGTGATCTGCCCACTTCAGCCTCCCAAAGTGCTGGGATTACAGGTGTGAGCCACCACACCCATCCTATTTTCAGTTTCTCTGTATTGTTTGGGCATGGCCTAGCTGGTCTAAAACCCAGTCAAAAGAAAGCTTGAAGAATCTAAACTTTGAAGCTGTCTAAAAAATGAACAAAAATGATGAAAAGGCCAGAGTAATTACTTTTCTATATTTTTACTGATGTGTTGTGTTAAAAATTTCAAAGTAGATATCCATTACTTTATAATAAAGGGGAAACCCATTAAATGTACTTGATTGTTGATTGTTTTAAGAAAAGCAGGTGTTAGTAGTAAGGGGTCTGCCCCTTTAGATGTCTGGCAAACGGCTGGATTCAGAGAAGAGTTCTGGGCTCTTACTTGTTGGTGGAGTGTCACAGTAGGAAGAGATCTTCCTTCTTTCTTGGTGATCCTGGTTCAGGCCCTTTCGAAGAGATGCAAAGGCATAAGGCGTGAGGTTATCTGGGGGCACGATCATAGTCCTCTTGGCTATGCCTTTTTGGCATCAAAATAACTCCAGTGAGTAATGCTTAAAAATACTTGGTTAGGACAAGTTTTAAATTATTTTTAATATTAAGTATGGTAACTAATAACTAATATTTATTTGCAAGGCACATCTAGTTACTTCATTTATATTAGTGATTAATTTCTCATTAAGGTCTTCTCAAGTTAAAAAATACACTTTTTAAAAGATTATTTTATCTAGAGGAAATGTTAATACGTCATTTGACGTATGCAAAAAGTTCCTAAATATGGTCCTTATGAACTGAATAATCATCACAGGTTAGTAGTCATTCTGCAAAGGTAGCGAGATAATGCAAACGTCATGAGTTTGGATTTTGTTTAACCTAACTTACTTTATATATCAGGATGGACAAAAAATCTTCTTTGAATTTTTAAGGCAGTTTTCAGACATCATCTCAAGATTTGAGAGAAGAGTTGTTGAAACAGTCTCTGGAAATAGACAACTATGAAAGGAATAAAATCTTAAATGTGTGCATATCGCCACCAAGTGGCCGAGAAAGTATTGTTTGTCATAGGTGATAGAGCTGCTGGGAAGGATGAGAAAATAAAGGCAATGTGTTTCATAGGATATCTTTTTATAGCAGCAGTTAAACTCTGTAAGCTAACCACTTACTGGTCAGACTTTTCACTGAGTGTCTGATACATATTGACCAACTACCCAAATTAAAAAAAAAATGTTGGTTTCATACACCTGGCCTAAAATACACCAAGTAAGATATATTTTAGGCCAGGTTCAGTGGCTCATGCCTGTAATCCCAACACTTTGAAAGGCCAAGACAGGAGGATCTCCTGAGACCAGGAGTTCAAGACCAGCCTGGGCAACATAGTGAAACTCTGACTCTGTCTTAATATTGAATAAATAAATAAATAAAGATGTATTTAAGTTTTCTTCTGTTAATTTGATGGCCTTTTATTTTTACCCCACTCCCTTTAGTTTCTTTTGCCTGTATTCTTGCCCCCCCCCCCTTTTTTTGTATCTTTGCTTTTATTCAATCACTGTATTGTTACTGAAGTCTGAGTTACAACCTGATTCATTTGCTGTATTTTAGGGAATGATGATACTGGAATGTCTAAGATGTGATTCCATCAGCAATACAGAAATAATTTCAGTGTTTAGATTATATTGGATTTGCTACTGCCATCATGGCTTTTTGAAATAATTGTGTGTTGACTTTTCTTTTTAAAGACTCAGAGCCTGTTGAAAAGTCTTCATTTTTCTTCTATTTATTTCATAGTTGGAAAGCACTTTCGAGATAGAACCTTTAGGTCAGTGTTTTGAGTAGAGAATTTTTTTATCAACCTGATTTTTACCATTTCATGCATTTTGTCACAGTGCTTTTGAGAAAACCAGCACTACTCATTCTTTTATCAATTTAACTCTCTTTATGTTTTTCTGATGTGAAATTAAAAAGTACCATTTATGATAGCTCATTGAGATTTGACTACTGTATTTGGTATACAGGTTGTGCATTCCCAATCCAAAAATCCAAAATGCTCCAAGATCTGAAAACCCTGAGTGCCAACATGACCCTGCAAGAGTCTCACTCTGTCATCCAGGCTGGAGTACAGTGGTGTGATCTTGGCTTGCTGCAACCCCCTCCTCCCAGGTTCAAACAATTCTTGTGCCTCAGCCTCCTAACTGGGACTACAGGCATGCTTCACCATGCTTGGCTAATTTTAGTATTTTTAGTAGAGACAGCATTTTGCCATGTTGGCCAGGCTGGTCTGGAACTCCTGGCCTCAAGTGATCTGCCCACCTCGGCCTCCCAAAGTGCTGGGATTACAGACATGAATCACTGTGCCCAGCCTGAAGCATTTTAGATTTAGGATGTTCAACCCTCAACATAAATGCAAACAATCCAAGATCTGGAAAAAAAAAATCAAAACACTGTTTGTCCCAAGCATTTTAGATAAGGAACCCACGACCTGTACTAAAGCACAGCTCTTTGAGTTTTATAGCTGATATACCAGTTTACTAAGGAGTCTGAACTTCAGGGTTCAATAAAATCTAACAGGAGATTTGTTTCCACAACTGATGCTTCTCAACCTCCTGAGAGTGTGCCAGCCTAGGTATTTGACTCTGTGCCATAGTAAGCATTGGACTCCCAGCATTAGAAGCCAGAAAGCTCCTCCTTGTGGACTTGAACTGAACCCACTCCAAACTAGCCCAGCTAATTCAGGCTTCCCTCCAAACTTAGAGTGACCTGGAACTGAGCCCTTTACCTTGGCTGTGACCTTTATATCCTTGGCCTCAGCCTAAGTATACAAGGATGAAAACTGCTCTTTACTATTGGATTAGATAAACACGAGAGGACTACAGAGGCTTCCCTCCTCACTCCATTAAATCCCTAGGGCCTCCTTGGTCCACTTGTCCATCATCCCTGGCTTTGCTGCCTGTTAATCCCCCTCCTGCTCTCTGTTCCAGCCACTCTGATCTGTTGGTTGTTTCCCCACTGTTGGTCAGTCCTTTCTACCTCAGAGCCTTTGCACTGGCTCTTTCCTCTGTGGAAATGCTCTTGCCCCAGATGGCCACATGACTTTAGGTTATGACTCAAAGTCATCATCTTAAGGAAGCTTTTCCTGGCCACCTTGGGTTATCCCCATTTCAGGTACCCCTTGCCTCCTTTATTTTTTTTCTCTCCATACATATGCACGTTATTTTACTCATTTATCTGTTTTTGTTACCTCTCTCCTGTTAGAGTGTAAGCTCCATGAGGACATGAATTTTGTTTAGTTTTTTTTTTTTTTTTTTTTTTTTTTTTGGTTATTTTTACTACTGTATCCCTAGTATCTGTGACATACTCAGGCTGTAATAAATAATTTGGAGAATTAATTAATATTAAATAAACCCAGCTTACTTGTAAGTCATATGTAAATTGCCTCTAAAGTAGTCTGTTTAGAGTTGATCAAAAGGTAGGTGCCATTATATATTCAGAGTCAGTTCAATAGATAATATTGTAGAGACTGAGGAGGAAGCAAACCAGAAGTAGACATTCCCACCTTCAGGAAGACCTGAGAGCCAGATCCAGCCTGCCGATGTCCCTATACACGTGCATATATGCACATGAAGTTTCTTTCTTTTAGTCTGCATATTGTTTGGCCTACAGAGTGTTAATAAGTATAAATCAGTTGCCAAGTTAAAAAAAATGGTATTTCATATAAAATTTGATTTCAGGCATCCATTGAAGAATTATGTGACCAAACTAGGCCTGCATACCCATAGTTCAGCTACGTGAATGTGAGCGGGTATATACACACCAATAGCTGATTATCACTGCATATAAGGTCCAGGTTTTCTTACACTAGTATTAAGAAAATTAAGCAATTTTCTATACTAATATAATAACAGTACAAAAAGTGAAAGTGACTATGGAGGCTATGTGTTTCAAGAAAGAAGGGAAAGAACCAACTTCATTGGTTCTAAACTAAAGATATTCCTAACTATACTAAAGGATCTTCCTAATTATCATTATTATTGTTATTGTTTTGAAACAGAGTCTCACTCTCATCTGGGCTGGAGTGCAGGTATACTGTCACAGCTCACTGCGGCCTTGACCTCCCAGGCTTAGGTGGCCCTCCCACCTCAGCCACCCTAGTAGTTGGGACTGTAGGTGACTGCCACCATGCCCACTAATTTTGGCATTGTTTTGTAGACACGAGGTTTTGCCATGTTGCCCAGGCTGGTCTCAAAATCCTGGGCTCAAGCAATTCGGCTGCCTCTGCCTCCCAGAGTGCTAGGATTATAGGCATGAGCCACCATGCCCAGCCTGGATATTCCTGTTTGTTGTATACCCTGTTCACCCATTTATATTATTTATGTGGCTAACGTGGTTAATTTGAATTTTCAGGCCCCCAGAGAGATATGACACAGATGTTTTAAAGTATGTCTAAATCAGCATTATAATTGAGCAGATGTGAATTTACACCCTATATAAGGTCTGGATTGATGGTCTAAACTATGTAAAATATGAGCCTGGAGCGAGGCTTTGCAATAGATAATATTTTTAATTGCTAAAGAAAAGATTATAAGAAAGTCATTCTCAAAAGAACTTGAGGGTGGTTTTTGACAACTGCAAAACAAACCTGTGGTTATCTATGGGTTGAAAGAATATAGTGTTTTGTTCTTTTGGCATGAAACATTTCTCAGATATCTACAGTGCACCAGGTGTTCCAGGTGTATATAAAATTCCAAGATATATAAAACACAGCAGTGTTCATAATCAGAATATTCATTTACTTTTGACTCTTTTACTTAGTTCTATTAATATTTTGGATGTTTCTACTTGGGACAATGCTCAAATACAATTTTCCAGGTTAATTACCACATAAAGTTAAATGCAGTATCCATAACAATAATGTCATTCATTCATTTTGTCATTTTGAATAAGCCTCAATTAGTAATTACAGATTTTATGGTGGTTTATCATGCTTTATAATGTGTTAGAGTACACTGGATTTGCTGAATTCCAGTGGTTTAGAACTCTGAGCCATGTGAAAATACAAAGATAAGTTCTGTACTCTAAAAAGTAACTGTACGCCTAATTCCAGTATTTTACCTGAACAGATACAGTCCTTGTGGAAGTCTTGATTTCTGTGCTGAGAGCGTGATTATTTGCATTACAAAACGCTTCACCAAAATTTTTCATTGGGAAAGAGGTGCATTTCAATATGATTTTGTATTCATAATGTTCAAGAAAAGGAAGTGCTTTCTTGAATCTAACTGATTGTGCTTTTTGGGTTTTTTCCCCATTATTCTTCAGGTTTTTTTGCCCTCCTCCTTGTGTATATCTTATGGGCAGTGGATGGAAGAAAAAAAAAGAACAAATGGAACGTGATGGTTGTTCTGAACAGGAGTCTCAACCATGTGCATTTATTGGGATAGGAAATAGTGACCAAGAA